GAGAATCTAATTTGTGTCTAATCAAGTAGGCACTTTGTAAGGTAGTAAACTTAATGAGTCATTCATTTTTATTTTTTTGTTCCTTAACCACTGAAGTGTTGGATGGAAACAAATGGTGCTTTTGTGTTTGGTAGATAACCAGACAATATTCATTAACGGGTAAAAATCTTGAAATAAAACCTAGTTTATTTTACTGTGTCTTCCCTCATGGAATTCTTAGTGTCTTACACATTGATGTAAAAAGTATGATATAAACTGATGTTTTCAGGCTGCAGTGTAACACATTTCATCTAGAGTGCTAATGGGTGACAGGATATCAGGTAATTTCTTTGTTACAGTGGTGATGTACGAACAGACTTTGATGTATTTACAGCTCAAGAATCTCTTTAGTGGTGGATACTTAATGTCAATTTGATCGTATTTTACCTGCAGTTACTGCTGGAAACTAGGATTGCTGACAATGTTGCGTACACTCTCGAGGAAAAAAAATAATGTAAATAATGGTAGATGGTCAAATACTCAGAAAATTTGCTTCTCTTGTCTGAATCCTTCTCTTGGAAGTCTGGGGACTAGAGAAGAACCGAATTATGTTCTTTTTTAATGTAACTATTGGAACTTTGGTCTTCGTTTTAAGAAGAATAAATCTTTCAATGTGAGTGCACTATGGGCAGACTTACTCTACAAAGTAGTTATCATCTTATTTTGATAAATAGACATAGTACCAGCTATGCTATATTAGCAAAACTTTAAAGTGAAAATATTTGCGAATCGCTGACTTTGAAGATAAGGATCCACTTAAGTGAGACAAGCAAGAGAACTTTGAACTTCATAGGTTTTAATAAGCTAGGTAGGCTATTGCTGTAATGTTTACACATCATTAATGAATCCAGAGAAATTCAAGTAGTGTTTGATCTGGGACCTTTGTGCAGTACATGTGATTCAGCTCTGTACTTTGTTCTGAAATGGCAGAATATAGATTTTACTTGGCAGTTTATCGTATCACTACTCTGAAAGCATAGTTACTGTGGGTCTGCTAGTAGTATAACAGTGACATATTGAGTGTAAACAGTATTTTTAAAGTCTATGGGTAAGCCACTGTGGCAACCGGAATGACCTCACAATTCTTAACTCCAAAATTACTCCACTAGCAAAAATGTTGCTTGCTTCTAAGTAGTGAAGAGCAACCACGGCAGTATTTTGGCTCTAAAAGCATTCTGAAAAAGGACCATAGTATTGGATCATAGTTACTATTCGGGATTCTCAGGGGTTTGCCATGTTGCATCATTGACTTGTCACAGGATACGCTGTTGGTTAATCTTTACAAAAACTTGGAATGGGGAAAAGATGTGGAATTTCCATTGTATGATCAGTCAGCTTTTACCCACAGTGACAGATTTTGGTATGTTGGAAGGAGCTGTAAGTGGAAAATGTCATTTTTGTTCTGCAACTAAGAAATAATGAAAGAGTCACTCTAGGACATCTGTGAATCTCGACCAGCGAAGGAAAGAAGAATTTTCACAAGCAACTTGAGATCCTAGTGGGTAACTTCAAAAGGTTATGACTAGAATTAGTGACTACAAGGAGGCAGGAACGTGTTCCTGGAGTGGCTAAAATGAGTTTTTATATCAGTTCCACCTGTGTTCAAAAACTTTCTAACCAAGGCGTCCAGGAGAGCATTAGACTGAAATTGAGCTAATAGCACATGTGCTTCAGCTGAGGTACCAGCATTTGCAGTCTGTCTGCACAGAGCCCCAGCTATTCTTCCAATGAATTACTCAGGAAGAATGCTACAAATGGAAGGTAATTGTTTTAAGTTTTTAACTGGATTCTTTTAGTGGTTCTCATAGGCTTTACTCTTCCTTCAGTCCCACACATACTGCTGTGAGGCCACAGTCAAATGCAGACAAGCAGTCTTGTTTCCAGGGTTTGTCTCTTCCTGTGCAAGAGGTGCGGTCAGCCCATGAGCTGTGCCCTGGCTTCTACAGGTCTGAGTACTGAAGTCCATACAGACACATTTGGCTGTCCTTGTGCTGAACGTTAGATGTTTCCTCAACAATTTGTTCAGCCTGAATCACTTCTGTTAGAGATAGTGGTTGCAGAGGAAGGTATCTGTTTAATTAATATTGATAAAATTATCACTGAAGTGATAGTTTTTAAATGCAGTGGCTTCTACTGAGGATGCTACTGAATGGTTCCTTCTGAGTTTCCTTAATAACTGTTGTCTTCTGAAGCCTTTAACTTGATGTGATAGGAGTATGAACTTTTGGAGGCTTGCATTAATCATTATAAAACTCTTTTGGTATTACTGGAAGAACATTTGTAGGTTTGCTGATTGGTGCTCTTTCAACAACATGCTAAGATTTGATTTAATGAAAGTTTTATAATGGCTATCACTCATTATTTCTGTTTCCTAACATGTGATTTGGTGCTTTCCTGGTAGGCTGCTGCATTGTTAATAAGGTTTTTACTCATTTAAACAAAAAATTAAGAGATTTTGGTAAAAGACTAAGTTACAAGCTATTTTAACAGTAATTTGGTGATGAATCGGCTACAATTTTGTAATGAAACATGTGGAAGTGTCTACAAATGTGTTCTTCCCCCATCAAGTCTGAAAGGTGAAGGGTTTCAAATAACACAGGTTCTTATGTATTTTAATCTTTTGATCTAAATTGACTTGAAAAACCCCCATAGTCAGCAACTGATCTGAATTATCAGTTCTGAATGCAAAGTTAGGTGGCTTTATTGATAATGCAAATGCCATCATGCTGTGTGTGAGCTGGGGGAGACAGCAATTTGTAATGCCAAATTTTTGCGCATTTCTGAAGCAGCTGAGCTGCTTATTCTTAAACATGTTCCAGGGTTTTTAAGAGTAATGTAGCACTAAATTTTGAGCTATGTAAGTTCTGAACTATCAGAGAACACTGGAGTTCAATGCACAGTTTACAACGGATAAAATAACTGGTGAGTTAAGTCTAGCAGTTTTACTGCTGATCCTCACCTAATAGTGTAGACTGAAAAATATCTATTCTTATTTTTTTTTTACAACTGATCCTTAAATGCAGTTAAGCCAGCAGCTTCAGTCTTACTTTCCGATATCCAGCATCTGGTACAAAAATAGTTGTTTCATGGTGAGAAGTCTTCAAAATACATGTAAACTTCTTACATCTTGCCCCCCAAATGCTAACATGATTCTTTTGGTTTGATATTGATTTCTAGGTAGTGTTAGGAAACCTCAAGAGCTTGTAGACTATATTAGGATGTTTTAAAAATTTTTTTAGTGTCCAAGCTTGTGGGTTCATGTGACTTTCAGAAGGTAACAACGCTGGCTAGGAAGTTCTCACTCTACCTCTCACTCCCTAGTTCTGCTTGAGGAAACTGTACAGACAAGTGGGGTGCTGGTAAGTTAATAGGATTCAAAATTTACCTTTCAAAATGAAATCAAGTTAGATCACTGATCCAGTTCAATGTTTGTCTCTACAGCATTTGTCTCAAAAAAAAAAAAGTGTGAAAGGGTGATGCGGAAGCAGAAATACATTAAACATCCTCACAGGGCAGAAAGGTGCATGACAGGGCACCCTAAAACTTGTAAGTTTTGAGTGCTGCTGAGAAGTTGAAGGTGATGGAGACAGCAAGAAAAATATTTGAAGACAACAATTTGGGTATCCAACATCAAAGTCCAAAGGGAAGCAGCGGTAATTCTCTAACCTGCTACATTTAGAAAACATCAGTTTGATGCAGCACAGCCTCAAAGGCTGTGTCATTTATTTGGAAAACTGTTTTGAAAGCTTTCCAGTTTTTTGATGTTTTATGCATCTGCGCATGCGTTTTGTGCTTGCTTGCTCTCTCTCTCATGCTGATATTTTCTGTTTGTTTTCAAAGAATGACAAAATCTTAAGACTTGGTTATTTTCCTATCTCTGTGTTTATTCTAGCATTCCAAATATTTTTTCAGGAGATGAGTCTGATACAGCTTCTGCCACATTTTTGTTAGTGAATTGCAGAAGGAGTGAAGCTCTCTGAGAGGCTATATGGATAGTGGTCATAAGCAACAAGTACTTTTATATTGATAGTTTGTTATTAAACTTCCAGTAATACCTGTAAGGTGGTACAAAACTTATTTTAGTAGAATCTTATGATTATCGTAAATCTTCTTGTTGTTACGCAATACTATAAACATTCACTTTTAAATGCTCATAAATTAATTTGTTCTGCCAGGTAATTACTGACTTGAATCTGACTGTTCATCTTATTAGAATCATAAGTCTATAAATTTATGCAGGTAAAAGGGGGTAGGTATGAGAACATTGGTGATATCATGTGGTTTATTACCCTTTGAAGTTCTTCTGTATTACTTCTGTTACTGCATTTTGTTCTCCTTCGCTGCAGTGACTTTGGTACTGTGTGTAAGTGTATATATATAATCTGTGGTTAAGCTAACCATGTACTTCAGGTGTCTTTGTTTTCTGTTGCAGTAAGTCTTTGTGCTACCAGCTTTAAAACTTTGGATCATCATACAGTGTTCGTTCACAGTTTAACAAAGTGCAGTGCTTACCCATCTTAGAAAAGCAAAAACAAGCTAGAAGATAATGCAAAGAGTTAAAACTTAATGACTTAGTGATTGAATTTAGACTGTTGTCTCTAAACAACATATGAACTTGCTTGCTGATATACTTTAGGATTAAAAAAAAATATATAAAGGCTTTGTGGAATAGCAATGGTAATGTGGGGCAGGGGGATCATACAGTACCTTTCTTTTAATCGGGTATTGGAAGGAAGAAATTCCCCTCTAACAACCCCACATGAAATACTTAAATGAAGATTTTAAAGCACTAGCAGAACTTTGGAATTTTCAAGTAACAGTTTTAGGCTAATAGCTATTTTTATTTGGTCATAATTTGTTAAGAAAGTAACATAATTGTCTGTATTTTACAGTGAAGTTACTTTGTACTGTGGCCAAGTGGCATAGTTCATTTCACCATAGTGTGCTCATCTTTATTGCAGCACATCTTCATTGCCACCTCTTGACTGGCCTTTACCAAGTCATTATGGGCAGTGTGAACTGAAAATAGAAGTCCAGCCTAAAACTCATCACAGAGCTCACTATGAAACAGAAGGAAGCAGAGGAGCAGTAAAAGCATCTACAGGAGGACACCCTGTAGTGAAGGTAGGAAGTCTGGCTTTCTTGAATAGAAGATATTTTTTTTAAGTACCATTATTGGTATTTACAATGCTGTGAATTGTTACCTTGTGTGAAGCTTACAGTCTTTCCTGTGTAAGACTTTTCTCTCTTAAATATAACTTGTTCAATACAAGAGTTAGTTTTGAATGTTTAAAAATTTACCGTTTGCTGCAGTTACAGTGCATGTCAGTTTTACACTGTATGCAGTTTTATGCCTGTGAATGGCAGTTTTATGCGTGTGAATCACAGCACAATAGTGTATTACTTGACATACTCAACATGAACTTTAGGGAGGAAAGAATATGCATTGTGACAGGTAAGAAAAGTCAGGATAATAGATCAGTTGGAGTTGTACTGAAATATGAAATAGCTTCATTTGAGTCAGACATCGTCTGTCTTTCGGTGTTGAGACAGCTTCTGAACACTATAAATGCCTCGATTGTGTTTCTTATTTGGTTATTTCTGTGAAATGTTACCCAGAAATTCTGGTAACTTTCACTTAAATGTTTAGAGTAAATTTAACTTGACTCTTCTTTCTTCTGTATGAACCGAAGGCTGTTAATTACAGTTTAATGGTAGCTATCTCCTTTAACAGTAAGGCATCACCTAATTTCATTAGATTTGGGCTGGTTATCTGTAAAGGTAAGTAAGACTTGTTTCTTGCTTTTTATTTTTTGACATAATTTCCATTGTCTTAACAGAATCATGCAACCTTTGTTGTCTCTTGGAACAGTCTAATCAGAAAATGCAGTAATGCAGGCAGCAGTCCTCATCTGGCTAACAGAGGGCAGTGATACACTGACTGGTTTGATAACTGGTCCCTGTCATTCACCATTGCTTTGGCTGGGTCCTTTAGCTAATGCTAAATATTCCAAATGCTAATGGCATCTAAAGCGTATTATTTAAATACTTTGCAAACACCACCCAATTATTGTTGAGCTCAGATCTAGATATAAGATCCTGGTAAATTAGGCTTGGTTTTCTTAAGAAAGCTCTGCTATCATATTCTCTTTGAAGGGAAAGCTGTGTGGGTTTGGTATTGTGGGTGTAATTGTGTGCACAAGCTGTGATGTACTCCTCTCTGGCTCTCAGTGTACAGGTATGTACAGAAATACCTTACTCTATGCTAGGAAGACTTTTGGATTAGGTAGTGGTAGTTGCTGATGTGTTCTTTAATCTGTGGTGCCAGCTGGCTCATACAGCTTGGAAGGGAACCCACCCACTCATTCACTGGACATGGGGAAGATTGTGCTGAGAAGCTGTGACTTCTTAAGATGTCTCTCTACTTATTCACCTTGATCTTGCTTAATGGTCTTTGTCTTAATACCAAGCCAGGTTAAGGTAAAACTTTCATTTATAAGTCAAATCAGACAACAGTTATAAAATCTTTGAGACAAATGAGGGAGGGAGAGAGTGGTCATAGTTTAATCTGATTATACGAAGGTTACAGTAGGATTTGTCTCTTCCCTCAAATCCAGGATATTTCCTGTTCTTTTCCAGCAAAATGGCAATCAGGGTTTCAGTCCTTTAGTCTTTCAGTATAGCATTCTATGCACTAAAAATTGTATTTGATATATTTTTCCTATTCCAGTAGTGGCAAGTAACTCATTTCAATTTGAGACAGATGCAAAGGGCTAATAGGATTGGCATAATCATTCCCCATTCTCTTTCTCTTACTTATACTGTAGTATTAACATGTTATCGCTTTTTCTCCTTATAGTTCATTCATCCTCTCTGACAAGCAAATTCTGTCATGCTTTGTAATTACATCAGTTTTGGAACAGCTCTAATGTTACATCTATATAGATATTAAATGTCTTGAACTATCTGCTCCTTTTTCCTTGTCTAAGCAATGTCCTCCCTTCAAGCTCTTCATTTGGTGAATTTCTTCTCTCAACCTGACTCACATTCCTTGGGGTATTTATAAAACTGTTTCTTCTCTGATACATTGAACTTTTTCATTCCTCCTTTTTTCCTCTAAAGACTGCATATCTTTCCTTTCTCTCTCTCTAAAAAAGGGTTGGTTTTCTGCATGCCATCTTCTTTACTGTATGTCTTTCCTTATCCTTCCATTCGGATTCTTAATCTGAGCTCTTTATCCAACTTTCATGTTCCCTACAAAGTTGCTTGAAGTTTTTCTTCTCAACACAATACTATGGGCTAATCAGCTCCAACTTTCTCCTATTGTTGGACCTACTAGATTTCTTAGCACAGTAGAGGCAAAAGTCAAGTGATTATCAGGAAAGTCTATGCTGTGAAGTAGAGAAAATTGAGGATGCCTGGACTAGGCTGGAATCTGTAAGTCGGCTGCACATTGGAGCATTGTGTTGCTGTAGTCAGTGGAGAACAAGTAGACACAGCTTTCATGTGCCAGGGTGCTGGCACTGGAACTTAACACATCATTTATGAGGACAGAAATCTGAGAGATTTTAGCAAAATAAGTCTCTGCTGAGCTTGTGTGAACTGCATTGTTGTTTTTTTTTTTTAATTCTTTCCTCCCGCCCAGGTGCTTGTGTCTGCACTAGCATTTTCTTTAAGGGTACTTGTTTTGTTGATGTTTGAGATTTGACAAATATATGTAGGCTTTCTTTTGCTTACAGAACTAGATGCTTCTAAGCTGCAGTACTAGATGCAAGTTAGGAAAAACAGATCTGTAACCTATATGATTTACACCAATGATTTTAAAAGCTATTTATTTACATTATAATTGTGAAATACCTTGCTATGACAAGAATGCTGTTTTAAAAATAGGGATAGTATTTATGTCTGACAGTCCCATGCTTAAACACATGGATTGTACTATGCCTCTAAATCAAAATGAATACAAATGCAAATCAATATTCTGTTTTGCAATTTGGTCTCTTCCAGCTGGATTAGAAATTAATTGTTGTGCTTGATGGGAGAGAGGAAGTTGTTACAAAACAAAACATTGATTTGTATTAACTTTTTGCTCAGTGCTGGGAAAGAACAGTATGCTAAGGGCCACGTTTGTGAAAGAGAAATACTAAATAGCTGTGAGCAGGTGAAAATGACTTTATTTAAATACAGAAGTGAAATCTTTTCCAGTGCTTCTGGAAGCTTATTACACAAATCCAGTTCACAATATGCATTAATATTTGTTTCTGACTTTTCTTTTCAGTGTTCGTAGCTTTATTCCAGTCATCTGTGTGTGAACATTGCAATAAAGTACTCAGCAATTTCTTGTGTGAAATAACTGTATGTTAAGCAGTGTTAGAGACGAGAAGGTCTGTGCATGAATATAATATTTCAGTTAGAAGGGATCTACAATGATCATCAAGTCCAACCTCCACAACTGTCAGTGCCTGAAGGCTTGTATGCTTTTGCTTGCTACACATTTTTTTTTGCTTTCAAACATTATTTTCTAGAAAGCTAGCGTATTTAATTTCTAAACTGTGAAACCTCTGTAGTTATGCATGTGCAGTTGACGTATTATGTAAAAGAAAGATTTTAAGATAGTATGTAGCTTCAAGCCATTAATCTATTGGTGCATGTCATTAATCTAGTACTAATACTGCACCATACCTGTTGCTAGGAGACTAAGCTTCTGACAAATTTGGCATCATCTGTTGTGAGTACGTTTAATGAGCTTATTTCCAAATGTGAGGAAATGAATGGAGCATTGCTTTGCTTTGTAAGTCCATTGACTTTAAGGAAGCAGATTTCATAATGAAAATCTCTTGTTTTCAGCTTTTTTAATGCAAAGTGTTCTAAACAGCAGATGCCTGTAATTTTAATCTCTGCTTTTTGGGTGTATGTTCCAGCTAATCCATGTCATCTGGAACAACTTATTTTATCTTGGTAAAGAATCTGCAAGATAACACTGTCAGTTTTCACAGGGTAGGAACCAACTTGGCAGAATGGTTAGCAAGGAGAAAGGTGGCAGTTTGAACTTTTGTCATCCAAATTATGTGGAAATTTAGTATTGCATTGTCAGGAGACATAGAAAGCCTCTGAGCACTGTCTACCTTTGCCGTTACCATTCTCAGTAGGTTAGAGTGCTTGCTGTACCTGTCTGTGAAGGCTTATAAGCAACGAGCTGCCACATTTCATCTGACTCTAAATGAATAGTCATCACTGCTTGAATTTCCCACCCTTCCAATAGGTCAAATTGTACATAAGAAAATAACATGTACAATTATGATTTGCTACAGTGAATTTTTACTGTCGCCTAAATTGGTTAGGGTTCTTCATGAGGATTCACTTGGATAATGCTTATGATCAAAACCACATAAGTGTTTCATAGCAGGTGAGCACATAAGAACCATTCAGGGACCGTAAGATCATTTAGTTCCAACCCCCCTGCATGTCCCATCAGCCCAGGTTGCTCAAAGCCCTGTCCAACCTGGCCTTGAACACCTCCAGGGAGGGGGCATCCACAGCTTCCCTGGGCAACCTGTGCCAGTGTCTCACCACCCTCAAAGTAAAGAATTCCTTCCTAATATCCAGTCTAAATGTCCCCTCTTCCAGTTTAAAGCCATTCCCCCTCGTTCTATCGCTACCTGCTCTTGTAAAAAGTCCCTCCCCAGCTTTCCTGTAGGACCCTTCAGGAACTGGAGGGGTGCAGTAAGGTCTCACCCAGAGCCTTCTCTTCTTCAGGCTGAACAGCCCCAACTCTCTCAGCTGGTTCTCATAAAGGAGGTGCTCCAGCCCCCTGATCATCTTCATGGCCTCCTCTGGTCCCGCTCCAACAGCTTTGTGTCCTTCTTATATTGGGGAACCCCAGCACTGTACACAGTGCTCCAGGTGGGGTCTCACCAGAG